AAATTGCAAATCCCCCTTTTTTTTACAAATGCATCCAGAGATCCCGCCCAAGGCGGGTATTTCCAGCAAACTCCCTTTGCCACCATCTGGCTCGTTGCAGTTGGAGGGAATTTTGGGGGGGGGGTTGCAGGAAATTTAAGGTTTGGGCTGCAGAGCAAAGCGGACGGCGTGAGGCCAAGCGGGGTTGCCGGTATCGCACCGATTTCATCCCCTCTTACGCGAACAGCACTTAGGCTTAAAGAGCCTGAGGCCCTCCAGGCATGTAGCCCGGCTCTAAAATTAACAGGAATATTAATAATCATAATAATGAAGCTTATGGAAGTGGAAGGAGAACTTGACAACAGGGCTTTAGTCCTGGTGGTGGGGCTTAAAGGGCTTAAGTGGTTAAGCAGGCTCAGCCTAGAGCGCAAGGGACATCCTATTCTTTCACGGCCGCCGCGACTTGGGTTTTGTCTGCTTTGGTGGGAGGACAGGGCAATATTTCTGGTTTTTCCTCCGCTCGCACGCGGCAATTTCATTACCTGCTTTTTTGGGCACCCTGTTACCCGACTTTCTTATTCCCAGGTTTGAGAACAGGTGGATTCTGCTAACGAAGACATTTTCCGAGCTGGATTAACTCCTGCTGTATTAGGAGAGGGCTAAGACCCAAGATTTTATTAAAAATACACCATTGCCGCGGAGCCTGGCGTAGGGTTGATTTTAACCTCTTGTTTGAATAACAGGGCAACCGGGGAGCGGTCCCATCCGTGCCACGTCCAGGTTCATACCCGGGTGTTTGATTCCACCCCGCAACCCAAATTAGGAGGCTTTGCTAGAAAAGCACGCAAAGATGGAGAGGGTTAAGAGAAAACCCAGCCTGGCTTTTTTTTTTTTGAGAGGAGAGGGCAGGTCCGTCACCCTCCCGTGGCCGCGGGGAATGCACCAAAAATGAAAAACCCTTTTCCCATCAGTCAGGAGGTTTGCAGGCAGGTGACGTGTTGCCGCTCCCCTTCCCGAAACACACCACGGGAAGCAGGAGGCAATAGGTGCCCTCCCCAGCCTGGCCGGTTATTTGCAGCAAGAAGCTAGATTTTTCCCACAGAAATGGTAAATTTGTCTTATTCCCTTCGAACGATACACGTTCCCCTCGGGGATCCAGTGGGAAAGCGTGTGCCGAGCACTTGTGCGTCCCGATACACGGTGCCGGAGACTGTAAGGATTTGGTTGCCGATGGCAGGCAGCTCCAACCTGGCAAAAACAGGCTCCGCAGTAGGGAAAAATGCGGGATACCCCGCGGAAACAGGGCGCACAATGCTTCTGGAAGGGGAATTTGACTGTATTGTACATAGGGGTTGGCCGCGTTCCTCGATTCCCAGCCCGGACCTATATATTCCCCTCCTGGCTGCTATGCAGCCTCCGCTGCATCCTTTCCGCCAGCATCCCGTATCTCTTTGCACAGGGATTTTGGGACAGGATTACTTAGAGTTTCCCCACTCCTCAATGTCTTGCACCTTAAACGTTTTCCTCGAAACCTCCTTTTTTTACCCCAGGATCCTAAATAGCCCTACCGATCCCTCTTTACTCCCCTGGAGCTTTCCGTATGGGGAATTGGTGCAGGATCATCTCGTCTCCGGTCGATGGTAAACCTCTTTTTCCCCTCCCCCCGGCAGTGTCACCGGCTGCCGAACGCCTCCGCTACATCCTGGGGGAAGACGATGAGCCTCCCAACCCCACGCTCTTCACGGAGATGGACACGCTGCAGCACGACGGCGAGGAGATGGAGTGGAAAGAGTCGGCCAGGTGAGGAGTCAGGGGGATGCTTTGGGTTGAAAAATGTGCCGGGTAAAAATCCCGCCCCCCCCCCTAAATATCCCTCGGTGGAAACGGGTTCAGGGAGTGAGCATCATTTTTAATGAGGTTAAAAAAGCCGTGCCCGAATTAGGGCAATGCAGAAAACACGGCGTTTTGGGGGTCTTTGCACGGCGGCTGCAGCCTGCCGAGGAGGAGGAAGAGAGGAAGATTTCCCATCTTCTCCCACGTCTCCCCAGGTTGGATCAACCGCAGAGCCGGGGCTTTTCCCGTTCCCGGTTACAGCACGAGAGCAAAGCCCTACAGAAAGGGCCGGGGGGTGAAAAAACAGGGTAACGTGCTGGGAAACTGGAGAATTAGAGCAGAGACCTGGGAAATGGGAGTAGGTGACACAAAGAACATTTTCCCAAGTCTTTTTTTCCCCCCACACACTTTTGCTGGCCAGGCCAAGAGTTAAACTTCTCCTACCTCTCAAGCAATAATAATACAACCCCACCCACTGCATCTTTAATAAAAGTATTAGAGGAGTTGCAAGTGGCGTTCGCTTTATTGAATTAGGAGCTTATCCAAGGGAAAAAGCTCAAATCCAGGTGGGATTTTTCTCTTCCTAACCTCAGCTGTGTAAGGGCTCGTAGGGCTGGGGGGGTCTTCTGGGGCGCTTTGGGAAGGGAGTTGGGGATGCTGATGGCGTCCCGAGCCCTTTCCTTTCAGTAGCACGTGCGGGATTTGCGAATCCGGGTGCGGAGGTTCGCCCGAGGGATGGGGAAGAGAGCAGGATCAGGCCCTGCAGGTGCCATTCCGTCTCTTGGGCTGGTTATTGGCATCACCAAAAATTTGGAAAGCTCTTGAGCATCCTCCTGGTTGCCATCCCTGCTCAAAACGCAGCAGCGCGGGGATGCTGTTGCTAAAATCCTTTATTTCCCCGCCCCCAATTTTGCGTAGGGCTGTATCTGCTTATCCCTCCCCGCTCCCCAAAAAGTTCGGAAGGCAAAAAATCAGCGCTTGCATTGGGATTTTCATCAAGGAGGGCTTGAGATGGTGGTTTCCAAATTCCCCCTGGGAGGACGGAGGTTTCTTAAGTCCCGGATTTCCGCTCTCTGGCGAGGAGCAGTTCAGCTTCTTTAGCTGCAGGAGAGCAGCTCCTTGGTGGGAGCAGCGCTACCTGTGGCTAAATCCGCAATAAATGGAAATAAATGGAAATAAAGAAGCTGAGCGCAGCAGGGAGATGGGGTTTTGCTGTAGCCTTGGCGAAAGCATCGCGGGATGCCGGTCCCGGGGCAAAGGCGCCGCTGGAAACGTGCCTCGAGTCCCGCACGCCGCCCCAAGCTGCCACCCCGTGTGCGCGCTAACCCACTTTCGGCAGGAAAATGGGGCAAAAAAGAAACGAAAAGCGACCTAACCGGCTTTGGGCGAGCGCCGACGGGGCTTAGCGGGTGCTACGGCGGGAAGCTTGAATTTCCTCTCAATAAAAGCAGCGTTGTTCGAAGGGCTGGAGAAGGGGTTTCTGCAAAGAAATCAGGGTAGGGCGTTTTGGAGTGATGGGCACTAGGGCCAAATTTTATATTTCTGGATCCTCTGGGGTTTTATCCCCAGCACGGACCATTCCTGGCACTCCCAGATAATATTTTGGGGCTTTTTTAATAGGGACACCCAGCATTTTCTCTTTGCAGCAGCATTTTAATGCACTCCCCCCTGCAGTCTTTGCAGCCTTTTTAATGCGCCCACCCACTGCAGCCGATACAATCCCATACAATCCCAGGCTCTCCCCACCCTTCCCCTGCAGCGTTCGGGAGCCATCAGCTATTTCCAGAAACCCTTCTCCTCCCACATCCTTTCCGTCTGCGCCCTCTGCGGTGGCAGGAGCCCAAATCCCAGTTGTACCAGTTAAAAGTTGTAAGGTTAAGCCCTGCGAAGGCTAATCCACGGAGCCTGCAAACCTCCTGTAAGGGAAAAGCAGCTTTCTTCCCCAAATAGACGTCTTGCCGAGAGCCACCTGCCCTCCCCGGAGCCTGACCTCTGTTCCTGGGGTGCTGGGAGGAATCAGCCACCGTTCCCAAATTTGCTCTGAAGTCTTTGGTTTGTAAAATTAAGGAAAAACAAGGAGGTGGAAGGGCTGATTTCCAAGGGCTTGCAAACCTTCTCGTCTCCCACCATCGGAATGAAGCGCCCAGGTTGAAGTCTGAGCATTGCTAAGGAATTAAAGAGACATTTGCGGTGCCCTGGGTTTTTGCTTTCCTGTGTGCACGGCTGGTCCGTGCGGGTACGGCTCCTGGCTAAGGCAAGGTCAGCTCCATGGGAAAACCTCCCAGATCTCGCAGGAGCAATTTGAGGAAGGTCAGGTCTGTAGGGTTGAGTTCAGTGGTGGAGCCGAGAGGTTTTGCTCCGCTCTGCAAACACGCAAGCGGCGCTTTGTCTAATAACGTTACTTGATTTCTCCATTCCCATCCTGAATAACAAGCAAAAACTTTGCAGGATGGATTAATTCAGGCTTGCAAAGCCTCCTGCAGAAGGGAAACGCCACGGGAAAAGCAATTCTCTTATTCTCTTCTCGTACACCGTCTCCGCTCCGTGCCCATCCCCGTGGCTGCCGCTGTCGTTTCAGGTGGATAAAGTTTGAAGAAAAGGTGGAGGAAGGCGGGGAGAGGTGGAGCAAGCCCCACGTGTCCACGTTGTCTTTGCACAGCCTGTTTGAGCTGCGGACATGTCTACAGACGGGAACGGTGCTCCTGGACTTAGATGGCTACTCTTTGCCCCAAATTATAGGTAGGAGCCGGCGGGTACCAGTGGTTTCGGATGGATTTTTCCCCATGTCCTAAAGTTCTGGGAACAGATTTAAATGCGTTTACTTGCTACATGCAAATATAAGCCAACTTGCATGGGAATAAGCAAAGACAGGAGTTGAGAGCCATCAACTTGGTTCAGGAAGTGTTGTTGTCATGAGCTTTCTGGGAGGGTTTGCAGTGGGGTAACCCGTGCACCTCCCTCGTTCGGTGATTGCAGACGATGTCATTGAGAAGCAGATCGAAGACGGTCTGCTCAAGCCGGAGCTGCGGGAGAAGATAAGCTACGTGCTCCTCAGGAAGCACCGTCACCAAACCAAGAAGCCAATCCACCGGTCCTTGGCCGACATCGGAAAGTCCGTCTCCTCCAACACAAGTGAGTCCTTGGGGTCCAACCTGTGCCTGGTTGCATCCTTGAGTCTTCGGTGAGCAAGCCTTGGGGGAGGAAGGTCTCAGGAGAAGGAAAGGGGGGAAACCCCCAACCATTTGGGGCACCCAACTATTTACTGCATTGAGAAAGACCCCAAAAGCTCTGCCGCTGGTGGCTTTAAGCGTGGGGGGGTCATCGGGAGCTGGAAGTCAAGGAGATGTCTGCTGAGATGGGCAACGGCGTTGTGTGATGGACAACGGCATTGGCGGTCGCTTGGCCAAGGAGCTTTCTGGCAGAGCAGCCTACAGACAAATCCAGTCTGCTCCACGGTTGAACCTGCCTATTTTTGAGCCATTATAAAAGGGGATTTGTTTGTTTTCACGCTAGATTATTTACTTAGGTTTAAACAGAGGTCATTTGGTGGAGCCCGGGATTTGCCGGGCTTCGGCTGCTCCCCGGGTAGGCAGAAACAGCAGCACCCAAGCTCAAAGTGCACATGGAAGAGGCCATCAATAAGCAATATTCCCACCCCGTGAGCGCCCCCAGGTTTCAAAGCAGCCATCACCCATGTCGGAGGACTAGATATTTGAGCTAACATTTGCCCAGAAGCCTTCAAAACGGAGCACGACTTGGAAATGTTGCGGTTACTCCCTGTAGGTAGGAAAAATAGAGGCCTCTTTCGTGTTTCTAGTCTCTTGCTGAGACGATGGCATCGCTTTGAGTTTGCAAATAGGGACACCAAGGAAAAGGTGGTCACTGGCAGGAGCAGAGGGGTCCCTCGCATTTCTTGTGCCAACAGCAGCTCCGTGAGATTGGAATAAATACCGCCGGCACGTTGAAAATAGGGTCATGCCCAGTGGGAGTTTCATCATTATTTTTAGTGGGTTTAACAATAAAAAAAATGAGGACAGATGCTGCGGTTGCAGCTGGTGTTTCAGAGAGATGCAGAGCAGCTCAACAAAACGGGTCCAGATGGTTTTTCCCAAGGAAAACACAGTCTTGGGAATTCAGGAGGTTTCCTGAGAAAATGCTGGGCTTAACACAGAAAATGCATGGGGGGAAAGGGAAGTCTTTATAGCTAAATAATTCAGTTTAAACATCTGAGATGAAACATGGGACTCGTCACCAGTTTAGGGAGGAGAAACGTTCACGTGAAACTTGGTGGTGGCCAACGTAAATATTTTGAAGTGTGAAGTTCATGGCAAATTTCAAGCGTAGGTTTCTTTGGAGAATTAGGAGATTAAAAAGCCAGATAAAGTGTTGGGTCTTCCTAAGGAACAGAAATTGCACTTCTGAACCCATTTATAGCCTCGACGAGAGCATTGGTGGGGCGGGGGGTGGTGCAGGCTCCTTGCAGGGAGCCTCTGCAGCGGGAAGACTTGGGGTAAGGCAGTTTTTTCTTTGCTAAGGGGAAAATTACTATGGGTGGGATAAAAGTGCAACTGAGAGTGGGAGGGAAAAGCAAATTGCTGGTGTATCAGCGCTGGAAGGGTCACATCTGCGCCGGGCAGCTGATTTTCAGCCCGGCCTCTTGCCTTCAGCATCACCCAATGGTTCCCCATGGCACCTGCATCTCCTCTAACGGCTCCTTTCCCTCAGCCCGCAGCCCCGTTCGGAGCCCGGCCGCCGGCGCCGCCTTCCACCGCTCCACCGAGGACCTGCGGATGCGGCAGAGCGCGAGCTACGGCCGCCTGCGTAAGCCGGGGAGGGCGGCGGGGAGGCGGAAACGGTCCTAAAAGAAGCGGGGTGGGGGGGAAATCAAGCTGCAGTATGAGAGTGGGCGATTGCAGTTACAAGGGGATCCCACCACAGCCATAAATGAGACGTGGTTTGTGTAACGACAGGGTGACCGAGATCAGAAAAACCTCATATTCTGGGGTTTTCATCTTATTGCACCCGGTTTGCAAGCCCAGCAATAATAAATGTTGGGTTTTTTTGCGCTGAAGTCCTCCCACCGTGTTTTCTCCTTGCACGTGGGGCTGAAATTGGGCTGCGCATCACGGGGTGGTTTTCTCACTTTCTCTCTGATCTCCATCAGGTCACGCACAGAGTCGAAGCATGAACGACATCTCGGACACGCCGAGCACCGACCAGGTAATCGTCCCCGAAAAGATTAGCGCGATGCTGTGGGGAGCACCTCCGACACGACCCGCGATGGGGCAGGGGCTCTGTGGTTGTTAAGGCCCGTGTGAGCCTTGTGCGGCTTCGCTCGGTCGATAAGCACACCAATTCCTAATTAGGGAAATGAATACATGTATTGATCCCTGCTAACTCCTGGGGAAGCTGTCCCAGAAATAATACCTGTGCTTGCAAATTAGGGGCAGAATTAGGGGCACGCGAGGGTGCTGATGTAGCTTGAGATCCTTAGGGCGGAGAAAAAAAATTCCTGAAAATCTTTAGGTAGGAAAGGAAAGGTGTTTGGAAGAGTGCAGGGATCCTAAAAGAGCCTTTGCTTGGCTGGGTAAGGGCAGGTTGCAGGGGGTAAATCCCATCCAAGCACTTGGGTCTGCAAAGGTGAATACAGCTCTCGAGATAACGGTCTGTAAATAGAGGCGGGTTTCGTTTTTCCCTCCGTTTGCGCCGTGATGGCCGTGGGTTTCTTAATGCAAAGCTCAGCTGAGAGCCCGTCGGGGGCTTTTCCCCCCCCCCGGTTTGCTTTGCAGGGGAGAGCTGGGAAGGAGGTCAGGCTGCTCGGGCAGTTCGTGGGCAGATCTCTGCTTGCCGATGCGATGGATCAGCAGGGTTCTGTGCCGTTCTTTTGCTAGATGTCCCATCCCCATGCCGATATCAAGGCTAATTTAGCTGGGAACTGCTGATGCATTATATGGGCTTTGCTTTGTTTCTCTTTGTGCGTGATTTCAGCATAAATCTAAGGGAAAACCAAACGCAACGCGGGTTTGTAGGGGACGGTACGGGAATAACAGCTTGCTTTTCCCCAGGGGTGTCCTCGCTGGGCTTACCTGGGGTGACGCGATTTAGGGGGAAGCGAAGGATGGAAATTCATGCGTTGCTGGGAGCCACGGGACAGGGATGCCACGATATCAGGGAGGCAGAAGGTTTCCAGGGCACCTTCTTAAATTAGAGCTGCAATAAAGCAAGCCAACTGCCCGCTAACGAACCCCAAATATCAGCCTCCAGCAGTGGGGTGCGGAGGGTTAATCCCAAAATATGCAAAGCATTTAGGTTTAATCGCCCTATTAGGCCCACTACAAAGGGACTTTTTAAGTGTTACATGAAGCTTAGTGGTCACTGTTAACTCCTGCTCTTGCTTATTCCAAGCTGCATTGGAGAAGTTGCTTTATTATTATTATTTTTTTCCATTTGGGTTTAAAAGATTAGAAAGGGGAGAGCTTGCTGCCCGGCTCACATGCCTCCCCTCATGCTGGCATATAGATTATAATAACACCCTGCCTGGGTTGGTATTGAACCCTTTTAGACTAATAATGAAAGACCTGTAGGGGAGAAGAGACCGGGGAAATAAATCCATGGACGAGGTTTCCTACTTCCATTATTTGTTCCTGCTCCGAGGATGAGACTGGGGGACAACGAACTACAGAACCATCCCCCGTGCACGGCACCGAGCGGTGTTTCCGCATTATATAGGGGCCCGGGGAGCCCGGGGCTGCAGGGCTGCAAATAGACTTGCAAAAATGCATGCTGGCTTGCTCCAGGATCCGTATTTTCTGACTCAGATTTTCTGCAGGGGGATTGCAGGGGTTTTCCTTGCGTAGACCCCAGCGCAGCAAAGCGCCTTTTGCAAACCACCTAGTCGCACTTCGTATTAGGGAGCCCCAGGCGTGTGGTTTCAAGTTAATCTCGGGCTCAGTGATGGTTTTGAGTAACGAAGAAGTTCAGCTTTATGAATTCTTGCTGTTTTATTCTTGGGTATGGCTCTTGAATCCCCACCTCTGGGAGTCCTGGGACCATCAGAGATTAAGAGGTTTGAGCCTGCGGCTTCAGCTTTTGCGTTCAGGGTGTGGAAAAGAGGGGGGGAAAGCCAAATTTTGGCAACTGCTCCCTTCCCCACCCTCGTCTTTCCAACAGCTGAAGAACAAGTTCATCAAGAAGATCCCCAAGGATGCGGAGGCCTCCAACGTGCTGGTGGGAGAAGTGGAGTTCCTGGAGAAGCCCTTTGTGGCTTTTGTGCGGCTCCTTCAGGCGACGATGCTGGGAGGGGTGACGGAGGTGCCCGTCCCTACCAGGTGAGCTCAATTCCTTCGAGTCCGAAGCACCGAGTGGTCTCACAACATGGGTGCCGGTTGTCCGAGGTTGCCAACACGGCGCCTTTCCCTTCCCAGGTTCCTCTTTATTCTCCTTGGTCCCGCGGGAAAAGCCAAATCCTACAACGAGATAGGCAGAGCCATCGCGACCCTCATGGTGGATGATGTGAGTAGATGCAATGCCCGGCCCTCAATGGGAACCCCCTTGCTCAGAGCCAAGAAAAAAAAAAAAGCCATTTTCATCCTATCGCCCGAACGAATGAGCTTAAAATCCCATAATGACGTGGGATATGTGCATGCTGGACACCGTTCCCGGGCTGACACCTCTCCTCTCTTGACCCCCAGCTCTTCAGCGACGTTGCCTACAGAGCCCGCGATAGAGAAGACCTGATTGCCGGCATAGATGAGTTTCTGGATGAAGTCATTGTCCTGCCGCCCGGCGAGTGGGACCCCAACATTAGGATTGAGCCACCCAAAAAAGTGCCCTCGGCTGAGAAGAGGTAGGTGGGAGACGTGAGGCTGGTCCCAGCCCTGTGGCCTGTTCTGGAGGTGCTGGAGGAGGACAGCAGCTTTGCTTGCCTTCATCCCTAGAAATAATCTCTGCAAATTTTCCCGAAATGCTGCTTTTTCAGCAGTTTTTGCCCCCAGATCAGCTCAGAGCCATTTCCACTCTGCAAAATCTGCGTTACCCACCCTGGGCTGAGCAAATCCAGCTCTTGATCTTTCCAAATTCGCCCCCAAACCCAAGCTCTAGTGCAGGCAGAGAGCTACACCATGGCCTCGGTCGTGGTCCCTGCATCAGGACCGGCTTGGTAGGGCGGGCGCCGTGGCCGACGCTGGTGACTCTCTCCCGCAGGAAATCGGTTTTCTCACTGAACGAAGTGGGGCAGATGAACGGCACGGCCGGTGGGGCGAGCGCCGGGGGCGGTGGAGGAGGCAGCGACGATGGGGAGATGCCCGAAGTTCACGAAATCGGGGAAGAGCTCGCGTGGACCGGCAGGTGAGCAGCACCCTACCACTCAAAAAACTTCTAATGGTGCCAGCACCCATCAGCATCTCCTGCTGGCTCACCCTGCGGTCTCCTGGGCCAATGAGGGGTGAAATGCTTTTGGGCACAGGCTTTTGCGCAGCACCGTATCTATTTTGGCGGAAGGCACGTGCATCTGGTCCTTGGTGGTGTCTCCCCAGGTTTTGTGGTGGCCTCTATTTGGATATCAAGAGGAAGCTGCCCTGGTTCCCGAGCGACTTCTATGAAGGCTTTCATATCCAGTCCATCTCTGCCATCTTGTTCATCTACCTGGGCTGCATCACCAACGCCATCACGTTCGGGGGCTTGCTTGGGGACGCTACGGACAACTACCAGGTCGGGTCCAAGGAGGGTGGTGACTTTGGCTCAGGGAGAGCAAGCAGGGATGGGATGAGATGGGACGGGATGGGATGAGTTTTACCCCCCTTGTGCCATGCCAAGCTTTAATGCTGGGGATGGAAATTCATTGCCAAGTGGGACTGGCAGTCCTGAAATACCTGCAGGATGGGAAAACCCATCTCAATGGCAATGCCAGGAGCAAGAGGACGTGGTCCCAACCGACCTATATGGGTCCTAGCAGAGGTCCTTAATTCCCATCTCCATCCGGGGTGTCCGTGGGAATGTAACATGGCACAGCATCACCATAACGCTGGGTTTGATCCATCCCCAGGGCGTCATGGAGAGCTTCCTCGGCACGGCAATGGCAGGCTCCATGTTTTGCCTCTTCGCCGGGCAGCCTCTCATCATCCTCAGCAGCACCGGCCCCATCCTCATCTTCGAGAAGCTGCTCTTCGACTTTAGCAAGTAGGTGCTGGGCGATGCCGGGGGGAACCGGCACCCATCCGCACCGGGGTGGGAGCTGTCCTCCAGCCCGCGGCGCGCTTTCATGGGGCTGCTCTCGCCTTGTCCCCGCTTTCAGAGGCAATGGCATCGACTACATGGAGTTTCGCCTCTGGATCGGCTTGCACTCTGCCCTACAGTGCCTTATCCTGGTGGCCACCGACGCCAGCTTCATTATAAAGTACATCACCCGCTTCACAGAGGAAGGCTTCTCCACCCTCATCAGCTTCATCTTCATCTACGACGCCATCAAGAAGATGATCGGAGCTTTTAAGTACTACCCCATCAATTCGGACTTCAAGCCGGACTACGTGACCATGTACAAGTGCGAGTGCATCGCTCCCGACCCAGGTGAGTACACATCTTTTTCAGTGCCGGATGGGGAAGGCAAAGGGGATGGGGAGGGGTCCTGCCGTGGATAAATCCCTCTGGATCGTTGGCCAAGGACATGGAAGGAGGCAGCTACCCGGTCAACTGGGGTGGAGAGACCTTGTCCTCCTCTTCTGAGGGTGATTTTGGGCAAGATGGAAGTACAGCCTTGTCCCGCCATGGATGAGCGCGTCGGTGCTTGCCAGGACACGGCCAACGGTGCTGGAGAGCCGGGGCCTCAGCCTCAGCAGCCAGACCTGGATGGATAAAAAGGAAATGTGGAAACAAAAAATAATTTTAGATCATTAATTCCAGCCCGCTGCCGATGGAAACTTATTCTCCAGAAAATACACCGGAGGGGTTTTGTCCTCTCCAGTGTCCGGGACACCCCGGGATATCCCGGTTGGGTGTGGAAGCCTCCTTGGACTGTTTTTCCTCCTCTTTCTTACTCCTTTTCAAAAAGGAGAGGCCATCAGGCTCTGAGCAGACGGTCTTTTGATGACTCCCCTGGTTTTGCTCTTGGATAGACGTACCCGATGATCCCCGGTCCGAATCGTGCAGCTCAGATGCTCCCGCGGCCACCTGGAAGGGAGCGGAGATCTTCGGGCTAATGCCAGCGACCACCTGCTCTCAGATGAGCTGAATTTATTTAAAAAGTCTAAATGCTAACAATTTGGGGGAGTATCAGCTGCAGCTAGAGGAGGCAGAGAGGTGTGATGGTGAAGCTCTTCCCAGAAATAAAAGCATCCAAGACCCGTCACGCAACGTGTTCCCAATACACCTGTCACTGCAAGAAGAGATTTTACCTGCCGCGATGGAAATAACATTTATTTGGTTTAATTTTGTATTTTTCCTCGATTTCTGTTTATCAACCACCCGCCGAGTGACCCGATCCCGTTGGGTTTTGGAAGCCCTGCGCGCAGTGAGGAGGACCCGGAGACAGCGCAATCCTTTCCAAACCAAAACCCTCCCAAATTTGACCCGCAGGAAAGCGAAGCCTGATGCCCGACGCAATCCCCGGGGGGCTGCAATATCCCGAAGGGGACTGTGACCGCCTCCATCCACCCGCGCGCGAAGGCAGCACCTGCCGCCACGGCTTAACGCAGGAGGAAGGCGAAGCCTTCAGCCTCCGGGGAGGTCTTCCCCTCTTCCAAGCCCCCGTCCTGAGCAAACCCCGGGTGGCCGAGAGGCATTTGCACCCCAAAAACCTTAAGCCTCTTTGCAACCCAGCCCCATTCCTCGCCCTCGCTGCCCCAGGCACCCAAGGCAACGGTGTCCGCGTTGGATTTTCCATTCCTCTAGATATTGAGAAATTATGTTTATTCCCCCCTACATCCTTTTTTTTCTATCTTTTTTTTTTTTATTAGTTCTGATTTTTGATTATTATAACTGATTTGTACCATATTTGTCTCTGCTGCACACATCAATTTGGGCTGATTTCAATCTCAAGTGAGTATCGCCTTCTAAATATTAAAATTATTTTAACATTTGATACTCTGTAGAGCCCTTAGGGGTCCTCTCTTAAAACACCACCAGTGGTATGCTACCCTTTAAGTTGTAGAAATCACAAATAAGGCCGGTTTCTGGAAAAATAAAAGGTTATGGAGGAAAATAATAATAATAATAATGTTTTTAATGCTGGGTTTGCCAGCGCTGTTTCCCAGAGCCCGGTTTTGGCAGCCCCCAGGTCTCTGCTTCTAACCCAGCAATCGCTTCTCCTTCATTAATCCTCGGTGCCGGGGATGGAGGCGGCAGGTCGGGGCAGCCGAAATTCCCGCTTGGCGCAGGAAGAGGATGGACCGGAGGGAAGAGGGGGGGGCAGAGTGGTCCCGGACCCCGCTTAGGGCCGCCCATAAAGAACGTGGGTGCTCCTGGAGCCGCGGAGCTGCGTCGCCCGAAGAGCCGAGCGGACCCGCTTTTTGCACTGGAGGAGAAGGTGCCGGGGGTTAGAAAGGATGGGGTTTTTTTGCAGTGAGATACCAAAACACCCCTAAAATATTTTAAAAAAAACCCAAAAAAGATGCAAAAAAAGCAATTTGGGCATGATTGGGTGCCGCCTCTCCAAAAATAACAGGCTGCTTTTTTAGTCTTCTACCTCCGTGGTTTTAAGACGCAGGTGTCGGGATGCTCGGCCCCGCTGCCGGTGGCTTCCCTGGGAAGCTCCTAAAAATTTTAGGAGCTGGGAAGCTCCTAAAAACACCTCCCCCCTCTGAGGGAGAAGCTGCCGAAGGAGAAGCCGTGTTCTCCGCCGGCGCACGGGATTAATCAGGGAGAAGTCGCTGCGGGGTTAGAAATGGGGGGTTTTCTCCCCAAATCCTGGTCCGCCCTCGGGATGCTGATCCCCGCGCGGCTCTCGGAGGATGTGCTCGACCCCGGGTTTGCTTTTACGGCTCAGCCGTGCCTCTCCGGGTGAAGCCCGTCTGCTTTTAATACCGAAACCTCGCTATTAGCCAAAAACCTCAATAACAAACTCCTTTCCCGCAGCCAACGCGACCTTGTTCGATGCTTCAGCTCCAGTGGCACCAAACACCACTAACATGTCTCTGGTAAGCGGCTTTGCTCATCCCGATGGGAAATTTGGGACAAGGGAGGGCAAATCCCAAGGACTTTTGCACCCAGGGAGCGACGTGCGCCAGCTTGGAGCGAGGGAAACGTGAGATTTGCATTGATTTGGGTTCACAGTTGGGCTCGGCGGCACCAAATCCCCACTTTTTTGCCCAAATTAACAGCAGCTCCGGGGTTTTCCCATGGTTATGGGGCTCCCGGCGGCAGCAGCCCTGGGAAATACTCCTTTCCTTGCATGCTGCAATTGCATAAAATGCTAATTTTGCTTTTTTTGGCCAGGAAATACCCCTTTCCTTGCATGCTGCGATTACTTAAAATAGCTAATTTTGCTTTTTTGGCCGGGAAATGCCCTTTTCCTTGCATGCTGCAATTGCTTAAAATGCTAATTTTGCTTTTTTGGGGGGGTTTCTCCCCAGTACAATGCTATTAACCTAACAGCTCTGGACTGGACTCAGCTGAGTAAGAAGGAGTGTCTCAAATACGGCGGCAGCTTAGTGGGGAAATCCTGTAAATTCGTGCCCGACCTGGCCCTTATGTCCTTCATCCTCTTCTTCGGGACCTACTCCATGACCTTGACCCTGAAAAAATTCAAATTCAGCCGCTATTTCCCCACCAAGGTAAGGAAAGCTCCGGGTTTTACCCTCCTCTCTTCCAAAAGGGAGGGAAAACGGGAGCTGTCGGTCTCTTTGCTGGATGCAAAGAGCTCCAGGAAAATAAATCTGTGTTTCTAGGAGGTGTCGGTAGCAATTAGGAGAATCCTCCCCGAGCTTATAGCCGCTGATCTGGCTCTTGCACACTGAATAACCCATCACCCCGCGATGCAAAGGGGAAAAAAAAATCTGCATTTTGTGGGTTACACCCAGGTTCCCCATGGGTGAGCGGAGCTGGAAAGCCCCGGGGAAGGGTGCCGAAGCGGGAGCAAACCTCTCCATCCCATTAATTAACCTCTCTACCCCATTAATTACCCTTTCCGCCCCCGTTTCCCTGTCTTGCCTCCAGGTCAGGGCTTTCATTGCTGATTTTTCCAATGTCTTCTCCATCCTGCTCTTCTGCGGAGTGGATGCCTGTTTCGGACTGGACACCCCTAAGCTCCATATCCCCAGTATCATCAAGGTTTGGCCGCCGCACTAGGGGGGACCCCCTCACC